AAATACCCACATCTGGGTATTGTACCTCATAATAATTACTAGAAAGAAAAATTGGAGCAAAAAGAAAAACAGATTACAGACTTGCTGCTCCCAGGGCACCCTGCAATTATGTTATTAGATCTCTCCTCAAGTGGAATTAGGAGCATAACAAACTTACTTAGAATTTCTCCATTAAGAAATGTATTCATTTGGAAATAGATTACCACTGGTCCTGTTGAAAGGAGAAAAAACACATAAACCAAATTTTCTTCTGGATGATCTTTCTTGTATATCTACGTGTAATTAATATAAAGCTAAAGGTTAGAATATATCTTTTCTTAAAGCTGGCATTTTAATAAAACTGCAAACAAAGTTAATAAAGAATACTTCCATTTGAAACTTCCAAAGTGACCAGATAAATCATGGTAATTCTGACCTATTTTAACTAAGGTGACCTGTTACAATTTTAGGCCTTAATTATAGAGACAGGAAATTTTAACATGAATATGACTTTGAAGTTTCTCCTATCTTTAAAATAAGTTTGAAGCATTACACGCTGCCCTGTTATTAAGAAACGTGTGTCTCAGGATCTACTGTATAGGACATGGAATTCTCCGCTCAGCGTTATGCGGCAGCCTGGGTGGGAGTCTGGGGGAGAATGGATACATGTATACGTGTGGCTGAGTCCCTTCGCTGCACACCCAAAACTATCACAGCATTGTTAATCGACTATGCTGCTGCTAAGTCACTTCAGGTTAATCAGCTATATCCCAACACAAAATGAAAAGTTAAAAGAAAAGGTACTAGTGTGTCATGGGCCTGACCAACCAACATCTACACTGCTGTTGTCCTATCTTTCAGAGTAACATTACACACTTCTCTTAACAAGTCTAATTGCTTTGACAGTGATATGACTTTAAGAACTTTCATTCTTTTTCTGAAACTTGCCAACTGTTTTTCATTTAAGCCTTTCAGTTCAGCAGGAACTTATTGGACAACATTCAAGTGTTTAATGACTCAAAGTCCATTTAGCCATTCATATATCCATCCATTCAAGTATTTAGAATTTACTAAATACCTACAACGTTCTGAAGTTTTCAACTTACACGTTTCTCTAGCTTTGATGAGGCCCATCATTAAATTCTAACCATCTGCCCTGGATACTTCATTCTTAGACAAGGGCAATCATATATATGTCTCCAAAGACATATATACAAGGAGTATACTGGACAAAGAAAACTTGTAGATTCTCTTGAGTGCATTGACAAAATCTCTAAATAAGTTTATTCACCAGCACTTAATTTCTAAGACAAATACTTCATTAAAATTAAAAAAACCATGTCAAAGGGCCATGAAATTTCTAGAAAGAAACAATATTTGAAGTTGAGATGAGACAAATTGCTCTTCTCCTATTTTCTCAGCTCAAGGCAATAAGGCATTGTGTTTGTCATCCAAATTCACAGACACCAAAATGTCTTATGATTTGAAACTCCTCTTGAGCAAGAGAATTTGAAGAAGAATAAAACACAGGTGGAACTTTTTCATAGTTATTGAATGCTTTATGCCTAGCAGGAAAGGGTGTAAGTTTGAAGTTTAAATTCAGACCCTGCTATTTAACTAAGGGTATAAAAACTTCTGCAAGTTATTTAATGGCTCTAAGTTTCAGTTTATTCATCTGGAAACTAGGGGACAGTAATACTTCTTTGACTGAGTTGTTTTGAGGATTAAATAGGATTCAATACTTAATAGTTGCCTGGTACACAGTAAGCAGTTATTTAAAAAAAAATTATTATACTTTGCTTTTATTAGTTTCTTTCCTGATTTACTTTCTTTCCAAATGAACTCAGCATTTCAAATAGAAAACTTACAAATTTGTTACAAACATGTACTAGTAATACCTTTGATTTTGATCTTCATTGGTTATGGGTTTTGTCTAACAGAATGAACCTCAATATTCACAGGAGACACATAAAGTTTTTAAGAAAATTATATTTAGAAACATTACAAGCTTGGACTTAAACAAAGAGAGAACAAAAAGAAAAGAGGTCTTTGAACTCTAAAACCTCCACAAGAAGGACGCAGGGTGAGAAAAATACACAGCTGCAAACACAGGCTACTTTTTAAGGAAAAGGAAGAGCACTTCAGAGAATGGAACCAAAAACCCAGAGGGCAGAGCCAAGAGCCAGGGAGACTCATTTCTACTAAGTAGAAGGACTGAGTTCTTATCAAGCGAACTTTCAAACACTGGCCCAGATGGATTTTAGAATTGCTATGAACCAGTGACTCCTCTGTACCCTCAATCTTCTCCCTTTTTGAACAGGAATGTCTACAGCAGTTAGCTTTGGGTGTGTCCCACCACTGAATGTGTGTGAGGGCACTTCTCAGGTCTACAGATTGAGAGGAACTATATTTAAGGAATTTCACTTGAGGTGGATCACCTATATCTGGACCAGATTTAGAAGCCAATATTTTGGATTCAGGCTAATGTCGTAATGGGATGAAACTTTTGCAGGGGTAGTAGGAGATGGTGAGTGCATTTTGCATGTGGGAGGAAGGTAGATAAATTACGGCAGACTGTGGTGCTTTTAAAATAAATTGTGATCAGAGAGTAGACAATCCTCCCCTCCAAAGGTGGAGCCTCATTCCTCTCGAGTATGAGCTGAACTTAGCGACTCACTTCTTAACTAACAAATATGGCAGAAGTATTGTGTGAAATGTCTGAGATTAGGTCATAAAAGGCACTGTAGGCCCCTCTTTGCTCTGAGATACTTCCTCATGGGGAGAGCACTCAAACAGCCTCAGTAAAGGTCCATATGGCAAAAAACTGCAGCCTTTTGCCAACAGCCAGGTGAGTGACCCATCTTAAAAGAGTGGAAACCTCCACCCCAGTCAAGCCTTCAGATGCAGCAGCCCTGACAGGTACCTCATGAGAGACCTTAAGCTAGATCCACTCAGCTAAGCTGCTCCTGAATTCCTGACTCACAGAAATGATGAGATAATAAAACCTTGTTGTTTGAAGCTGCTAAGTTTTGTTTTTTAGTAATACAGGCCACCATACATCATTTCCTTTGGTGAAAAGTTTGTTGTATTAAAAGAAATTTGAAAGCGCCATGTCCTAAAACATGGCAGAAAGACAAAATGTATATACTTTTCCAAGTCTTTCGCAAACAAGATTTTAAATTCACTAGCAAAGAACTAGGGAAAAAAATGACCTATCCACAATTCTTTTAAATCTTCTTTTGTACAAAAAGAAAATTCTTTTCTGGGCTGAAAATTATCATTCTTTGCCATATAAACATGGAAATGACAATCTATATACCTGCCCTTTACCATTCTTTCATTAAGTTCCCCAAGGCATAAGTAAAATTGGTATTTTAAAGTCAATCTTACAGTGGCAATACACAAGTTAAAAAAAGAAAGAAAAAATCAGGTAATCTCAGTTATGTTGTTTTAGTTTAATGGAAAAATTATTTTTAAAAAACCCTGGCATAAAAATGTAGTTTGGTACTTTTTCCTTTAAAGCTTTACTTAGAATTGAACGATTCTCTTTGAAGCACTACCCAAAGAAATCTTAGTATTTAATCTTGAACAAAATCTGAACTTCATCTCATTCTTTCAGTTACTTTATCCTATATGCTACCGTAATTCTTTGGCTAATTAGTTAGTTCTTCAAAGTGGAGTTTGCCCTTCAAGTATTTATAAACACAGAAACTTGTTTGCATAAAATAAGGCACTGAACATTTACTCTCTCATGATAAGTAAAGTCGCTCAGTCGTGTCCAACTCTTTGCGAACCCATGGACTGTAGCCCACCAGGCTCCTCCATCCATGGGGATTCTCCACGCAAGAATACTGGAGTGGGTTGCCATTTCCTTCTCCAGGGGATCTTCCCGACTCAGGGATCGAACCCAGGTCTCCCGCACTGCAGGCAGACGCTTTAACCTCTGAGCCACCTAAATTTTCTGGTTAATCTCCTTTCCATTAGAAAAGGTTTCTTTAAGGGTTTATTTAAAGGATAGATTTATATTTAAGCTATACTTGAATTCCTGAAAGTCTGCACTGCTTTTATAACTTCTATTTGCTTTTATCTAGGCCACTGATACAGGAGAATTAGTCAGGAATGGAATTCCCCTTTGGCTTTGGACTCAATCTCTGTGATTAAATCCACAAGGGCACAACAAAAATGATTTACCAGGGCCACCTCAGGCAGTTCTATGTCTTGGTGCTTATTTCAGTACCTAAGTTGGAAATCTAATACAACCCTATCCTGGGAATTGTGTGTCTATGTATGATCAACTCTATCTTAAGGGGCCCATGATCTTCATCATACATACAGTTATGAATTCAATTTGCATTTTAAATCAAGTTGATCACTCATTTTCCAACACTTAAATGTGACCTTTACAATTCCACTAAAGGTGTATAGGAAACTTAAATCAATTGAACATGATTTACAAAGTCTGGATATTACTGTGCAGACAGAATTTTCAGCTTGAGTTAAGGTTAGAATCTATATTTAATCCAGTTACTTTGGTGTGCATGCACATATGTGCACCTACATTAGGTGCATGGAATATTAAGCTGCCAAATGACAGATATCTTCATAAACCTTAAGTCTTCCTATGATTGTCAAGATACCCAAAGGAAGAAAATATGCGCATGGGGTGTATCTAACTCATTTCTTGGTTCCTAACTCTTCACTCATGCCTTTCTTTTCTTTACAGATATTCAGTCTGAAATGGGAATCCTTGAATTTAGTAGCATCTTTTGTTTCCCTGTAATGAAAGATTACACTCAAAAATCACATAAGAAAAGTTACCACCAAGATGATGCTAGTTTATTATTAAAGTGTTGCAAATTAAATTTATAAACTAGGTGCTTATTTTGCCTCTGAAAGATTGGGGACAACTAGTCCCCCTTCCTACACCACTCTTCTAACCCAAAAGCAGATACCTCCGACCTCACTGTATCATGGTTTCCAAAGAGTAAAAAAATTAATGCTTCTGAATCATTTTGACTCACCGGACTTTGCAAGATCTGAGTAACTCGTTTCCTCTGCTCCATCATATTGAAGTCTTGTCGCAGATCAGGAGACATGTTTCTCTCCCTTATGTATTCTGGGTCATTTTCATTGATGCGGTCAAAATACCTCTCTTTGTGAGGCATGCTGGGAGGAGGAGGAGTAGTGACCACGCCTTGGCTAGCATCTGAACTCATGCTTCTCGTCTGCCGACTCTCCTTGTTATCTGCATTAATAAATACAAAGCAGGACAATCATATTAATAATAAATTCATTATTAAATTCGAATTTTACACTGGTCATGCAGAACTGTTACCCTGTAACGGTGGCCATTTTCTTTATTAGGACACTTTTTTTTTATTAGGGTTAAAATAGATATAATGCTAAATTGTAGATTGAATATTTTCAGAGCTAGGAGAAACTTGTGGTTCAATTACAATAATGTCATCCTGCCAAACAGATTTTTTAAAGGAGCAATAATCAAAATATCCAAAAGTAAAATGCCACATCTAAGACAGCAAAATTTCATCATTGGTGATTACTGTTAGTGGAGATTCTCTTTTCTCTCTTACTCATGCTTTTATGTTAGACCAAACTCGAGCCATATTTAACAACCACTGTATTTTATAGTGAATGTAGCTTATTAACTTAAGAGAGAGAAACAGCTATAAGTTTTTCAAATGATTCAGTAAATTCCAGGGAAAATGCAGGAATTATTAAGGCTGCCAGACTATATATCAACAGATAGTACTTTAAATCCAGTGAGAAACAATAAAAAGCTATTCAGAAACCAAAGGAACGGCTGATTCATTTAATGATTACTGACAGGATAATCCTTGGTTTTATGCCAGGGAAACATTCATTTGGGCTTTGCTACAATTGAGCATGTAATCAATCAACAGTAGATAGACTAATAGGACAGTCATTCAACATCCATCCCCCAGCCCCAGGCTGTGATGGCTTGTATTAGAAGTTGAGGAAGCCATCTAACCTGCTACTTCTCAAATTGTCTATGGTGAAGAACTTTCTCCAATTTGCTGTGGACTAATATTTTTGTAAAATACGAAATAATGCACTCAGATGTCAAGGCAATGTCAAACCACAAGAAGTTTCTAAACACTTACTATCATATTTTGTCTGCAGACTGGCACTGGATCCTGGACCACACTTAGAACATCACTGACCTAGCGAGAGGTACAGTCACTGCACACTAAAGGAATGCTTCCTCTCACTTTTGGATGTGATGCAGCACAAGGCTAAACCATGAGAAAAGGACACCACTGATTAGTGTACCCCTTTACCTAGTTGTTCTTTTGAACTGAATATAGAAAATGCAAAAATGTGCAACAAGGAAGAAGAAAAGGAAACAATTTTTAAAAAGGAATTGTAAAGACAGTTTTGTGTAGCAAAATTTTCTCTGCAGGTGGTAACAAATGCAATCTGTTCAATATAAATGACTGGGTAACAGAAAAAAACATTCTCACTACAAATGGTATTTAACTGATTATTTGCCTATAAGAAGAATCACTTCATAATAAAGGAAGTTAAATGCAGAACAGTTTCTAGATAGACCCAGAAGGGAAAAGGCAAGGGCTACCTTTTTCTTAGGGATCTGAATCCCTGATATAGACCAAAGATACAGATCTCATCTCCTGAACACAATTAACAGCTAGTGAGATTTCTAATAATAGTCTTCTCCGATATAATTCATTTCTAAAGCTGCCTTGACCCAACTTAGCCCAAGTAAACTCACTGTAAGATATTAAAAACTCTTGCATTAATTCTGGTCCTGGAAATGTAAACTTATTTTGTTAAAGATAAATTTTTGCAAAACATGCTAAAACTGATTTCTTTCACTTGAAAACATCAATCTGATGTACAACATTCTACAAGCTACCTGAATTGTTCTAGTATACAACTCCTCAAATTCATAAAATATGGTTAAAATACTTTACATCACATGGCTTTAATGAAATTCTGATCTAATTACTAGAAAGCAACTTATTAATATCAGTGAAAGAAATGTAAAAAATAAGCTTTTCTATAATTGAATGTTCCACATCCTAATTCATTAATTTAAAAATTGGAAGAAAACACTAAAGAATGGATATCTGTTCATTATATGTGTTCTCCACAGGAAAAATAGGGTTGTTTCTTTTTCTCTTTAATATAACATTCACTACTAATGGAATGACCCTGGCCATATTATACTCTTCCAAAAATAAGCTTTTACTACACTGTTATCAGATTGACATTAACCTATAGTATTTTTCATCATCTTGCTATTATACAAAAATGTGGTGCACAGAGCACCTATCACAAGAAACTTTTTCATACCCATTTGAGTTATCAGCAGTCTAAAGGTCTAACCGATCTCTGGAACCTAGTTTTCTTAGAACTTGTTTGTAACAAGGCCATTTGAACTCCTTAAAATAGTTTATAGCTAGCAGATAAAAATTCCAAGGAGAAAGTTTTTAGAGAAACAAACAAACTCACATATAATAGTAAATGTCATGCTGCCTTGGCCAAGTACAGACTAAGTGGGTACTCAATAAATGCAACATCAATTAACAAAGAAATCAATTCTCTTTAGTTTACCACACTAGGTCACTGACTATGAATAAGCCATTTTTAAAAAAGAAATCCCATAATGTTGCCTTTAGTTGGATTTTAACCTATTCCTCAACCCCTAAAGCACTATTTAGCCTAATGGAGGAACAGAGTTAGATAATAAGCCTATGTCTAACTGAATTTGCTGACACTTATAAACTAATTTTACTAAAAACACAGCAAAAAGCAAGGAACCATGGTAGTAGATTTATTTTGTTGTCCCAGCACTGGTTTAAGAAACTGATAATAGGAACACTGATAAGTAAAAGCTTAAGAGTTTAAAGAACTCCTGATGAATGCATTTTTAGATGAGTGAAGTAAAAAGGAAAATACATCTAACCACTTATTTTAGTAATAAAAGAACATATTATATATGTGTTAACACTTTGTATAGTTTATACTATGCTCTTACATCTTTCTATCTTATTCCATCTTTGCAACTACACAATGAGATAGAGATTAATAATCTAGAGATTCCATGGATTAAATATCCTGCCAAAAATCCCACTGTTAATGTCAGACAACATTCAAAGCCACAGTTTCCATCTCCTAGTCCACTTTACAATGAAACGTATCATAAAACACAAGAGGGCTAAAATTGAGACTTTTAGTCTACATTCTGTCCTAAATATTAGGCAACTGAGAATATACAGAATCTGTCAAAATTAAGGAAATGATACCAAAAAGGGGAAATAAGATTAGAAATGACTCAAAACACTCTGATCTTTTTAAAACTTCAAAAGCTCAGACTTCTGGTTGCCAAGGGGGAGAGGGGCGGGGGAGTGATGGATTAGAACTTTGGGATTAGCAGATGCAAACTAGTATATGTAGAATGGACAAATAATAAGATCCTACTGAATAGCACAGGGACTATATACAGTATCTTATGAGGAACCATAATGAGAAAAAACAATAAAAAGAATGTATATACATGTATAACTGAATCACTTTGCTTAACAGTAGAAATTAACACACACTGTAAATCAACTACACTTCAATAAAATAAATTTTTTTTAAAAAGTTCATTATTTACCATGGCTTTTTAATAAAAGAAGTTCCAAAGTTTTATGTACTTGGAGTAAGGATTGGGAATTAACAAGGATACAGAAATAAAGAATAAGGGCAGTACTCTGTCATTCAGGTGCTCTTCTATACCTAGATGCTCAACAAAAGTTTCACACAGATTTTTAAGCCAATCATAAGCAACAACTGATTATCTGCAATTTTACAGACTACGGACAGAACTGCTATTTCAAGCCTAGAAAAAACCTAGGATCCACAAGATTATCTGAAATAAACAGAATTCAGAAAAAAAAAAAGAGAGAGAGAAGCTTTCAGCATCACATACAACAGCCAAGACATGGAAACAACCTTCGTGTCCATCCAGAGAGATGGACGGATAGAGAAGATGCGACATACACAGTGAAATTATTCAGACATAAAAAGACGATTCTGCCACTCGCAACTACATGCATGGGCCTTTATGGCCTTATGCTAAGTGAAATAAGTCAGATAAAGACAAATGTGATATGAGCTCACTTACATGAAGAGTCTAAAAACATCAGACTTACAGAGCGTAGAATGGTGGTTGCCAAGGGCTGAAGGGTGGGGGAAATGGGGAAGTACGGGTCAAAGTACGACATTCAGTTGTACATAAAAACAAAGTACAAACATTCAGTTATAAGTTCCAGGGATCTAAGGTACAGTAGGATGGCTGTAGTTAACAATACGATATGGTATATTCGAAAACTGCTATGAAAGTACAACTTTAATGTTTTCACCATAACAACAACAAAGTATGTGAGGTAAGACTGCTGTTAGCTTACCATATTATGGCAAGTATTTCACTATACATGTATCAAATCATCACACTTTACACCTTAAACATGTACACTGTACTGTCAATTATATTTCAGTTATATAGTTACCCACAGGACACATGTCACCAAATACCTTTCTGGAAGATTATGATACCAATGTTAAAGACTAAATAATTTTTACTCAACCTAATAAATTTTGCTCATATTAATACAAAATTAAGTGATTTCTATGCTTAGAGAGGACTCCTAAATTAGTCTGAAATAATGATAAACAGGCCAAAGTTAAATAACTTGCTATAAATAAGTATATATCAGGTCCTTCTTTCCTTCAACAAGTTTCTACTGAGCATCTACTATGTTCCAGGCCTTACACCAGAGGTATTGGTGGACTGTTCAGTCAAATCCTCTTAGAGCTCTGAGAGCAGTTCAGAGGTTTCTATAACCCAGTGAAAAGGATTCTACCCGGAATGAGGGGAAGCTTCCTAGAGAACATGACATTTTCTCACATTAAGGAGGGTACAAGCCCAGGCAAACAGCAATGTGTCAGGGAATAAAGTTAGCAATGGAATAAACAGTGCATCAAACAGACAGCAAAGCAATTGTTTGAAGATTTGGTTAAAAATCATTCCTGCAGGTAAATTAAATCATTTAACATCAATTATTTTTATAATAAAAAGTTACATGACTTTTGAAGAAACAGGTGAATTTCATGCTTGCTTAGAAAGCAATGCAAACTTACAGACTAATAAAGCAAGCAAAGAAGTGAT